AAAAACAGAAAGTAGTTAATACAAATTTTAAAATTTCCTTTTCTGTCCCACTAAAAATGAGGCCCCTGGAGACCTTTGACCTTTGGCCTCTGTTTTGATAATTGCATGGCAGGTTGACTTTCCAGCATATAAATTAAACTGTATTGCTAAATGCTAAAAGCGATACTTGAGAGAAAACGGTACCCCTGGGTTATGAAAAATATACATGTAGAAAGGACGACTGCTATCATATTGAATAAAGAAATGTACAGAAAGAGTAGGTTAAATTCTTTCAGATAGAAGCCATGCGGCTATTAATGCCAAGAAACAAAAATAGACCACTAGGTGTCTGAAATAACCTGAGGATTGATGGTTCTTGTTTGTTTTAATGTACATGATAGAATGCAATAATCTGAGTCTGGGAAAATGATTTACTGAGATTAGACTCAGAACAACCTCAGAGACAGTTTCTCACATTTTACTGCTAAATACAACTATTCCAAGAAGCCTGATGGAAGAAAGTGTCCCTAGAAAAGAACATTGCAGGAACATTCTTGTAAATCTTTAGAATGTACTGTAGATGGAATTTAAGGACATCTGGGGAAAAAAATGACGAGAAGACAGCTCTGCTGAGCTTGGAGCCAATGACTATAATGGAATGAAGAACTGGTGAATGGATTGACTCTAATTCCTCTTCAGACAAGAAGTGGACTGGAATTGCCCACAAGAAGTGCCCCAGATGCTGCTTCCCATGAGGAGACTGAAAAATAGTGGTCTCCTGCATCCTGGGGGATGAGGAATCATCATCTTTGCCCAAACCTCGGTTTGGTGCCTTTAAAAAGGACACAGGATTGTTAATAATATTTGGAAATTGCTTGTTAACTGCTATTTGGGTATTAATGGCAAGTTTTATTACACTGGGTAAGTTTCCTTCAATCATTAGTGAAATAACTTTTATACAAATTTAAGGACTTAAATTAATTTTTAAAAATAAACAACAGAAAGATTATTAGAAAGTTGATTTTGGAAAGTTTAAGATGGACTGTTGATAGGGAGTGAGAGATCCAGCCCATGGTATGCCACAGGGCTTGGTACACTCTCCATTCCTTTTTAACATCTACATGAACCTGCTGGGTGAAATCACCCATCACCATGGTTTGAGGTATTATCAATATTTCCACCCCAGTGATCCAAGTGTTGCTGTTGCTACCCTCTCGTAGTGCCTGGAGGCTGTGTGGGCCTGAATGGGGGATTACAGGCTCCAGCTTAACCCTGATAACACCAAATAGCTTTGGATGCAGAGGGCTTCAAGATCCAGGACTTTGACACCTTTAGCTCTGGATGGGGTGGCACTACCCCAGACAGATCTGGTCTGAAACTTGGGGTTTTTCCTGAACTCACAACTTCTGCTCAAAGAGCAAGTGGCAGTCATGGCTAGGAAAACTTTTGCACAAATTTGGGTTGTGTACCAGTTGTGGCTTTTCCAGGATCAAGAGTCCCTGCACTCAGTCATTCAAGCTCTAATCATCTCATGCTTGGATTATTGCAATGCACTCTACATGGGGCTACCTTTGAAGAGCATTTGGAAGCTTCAACTGATGCAGAGTGCGGCAGTGTGGGCAATCTTTGGGGTTCCTAGAGTGACCCATGTTACACCATATTCTGAGACCTGCATTGGCTGCCAATTTGCTTCTGGGTGCAACTCAGTGTGTTGGTTATTACCTATAAAGCCCTGCATGGTATGGGTCCATGTTATTTGAGGATCTGTTTCACCCTTATGGGACAGGCCTGCTCCACCAGTGCTGCCAGAGGAGGCAGGCTGCAGATCCTGTCAGTCAAGGAATTCTGGCTGGTGAGGTCCAGGAAAAGAGCTTTCTCTGCCATGGCCCCAACCCTTTGGAACATCTTGCCCCCTGAGATTGGATCCCACCCTCGAGTTTTGACAAGAGCCTGAAGACCTGGACCTGCCAGTTGGCTTGGGGCCCTAATGGCGGAGTATTACATTGTAAGTGGTTGATCAACTAATAGCAGTTCCCACCTTCTGCTCCCTCCCCATTTTAAGTTATAAATGTATTTTATTGCAATTTTAACATGACTTTACACACACACACACACACACACACACACACACTGATTTTAATCTTGTAAGCTACCCACAGTTGCCTTATGGTGGTAAACAAATTTAATAAATAAATACAATAATGATAGTAATTGGCATGAGTTCCTCATAATATCCTCAGCTTCAACTAGTTCTTCAAAGCATCATCAGGATTTGAAACTATAGCTAAGTCCATGTACAATCTATACGACTCTGCAATAGTTCTAATAGATATCTCTACTATCTTTTGTACTTTGCTGTATTGACTGCAGTTTGATGGATGATGTTTTGCTCTGCTTGAGATAGCAACACACTGGAGACCCAGTGCAGTGGTACAGAAAATAATTCCTACACTCAGAAAAGGCAATTACAAAATGGGCTGAAGTGGTAAGTGGTAAGCAGAGCCAGTGACAAAACACCCAGAAATAAAACTATGGTGTTTTATCCCAATAAATACTGTAAATATAAGTTCCCTGGTAGTTTATTTCATTATTTATTAGATTTACAAACTATCGGATTTCTAAGATGCCTGGCAGCTAATCAATAATAAATAATGTATTACAAATAAATTTAAAGCAGGCATGTCAAAGTGCTGGCCTGCAGGCTGGATACGTCACACTGAAACCACGCCCACCTCATTGCCGGCAATGGGGAAAAAAGTCGTGATACGTTGCACGTCACATGACATTGCGAGTTTGACATGCCTGATTTAAAGCATCAATTGTAAAAATATAAAAACATCTTGGAATAAAACACGTAGAGATGATATAAATTTCCAAATGGTCTCTGTCTTCACATTAGAAAAAAAATCATAGAGGGTGATAGTTTCACTATTGTGGGATGCTCTTCCAAAGAATTGTACCCATAATTAAAAAAAAAAAACATTGTCTGGACTCAGCTCCTCTTTTCTTATGAAATCGTGGTTTTACCAATACTTTCTCTTGAGAGGAACTTCAGACGAGTCAAATCTGATTGATAGACATGTTCCTGCCTGGACCTAGGCACCCAAGCCATAAGGAGTTTTATGCTATACTTAATCTTAGCCAAAAGGCTGAGAAATGATAAAGAGTTTTATAGATTAAAATCAGTTTTGAACTGCACCCAGAAATCTCTTCCATTTTACAATGGAGAATGCTTTCTGTCCCACTGTATGGCTTAAAGCTAGTAATAAAACACTTATGAGAAGCTATTTAGCAAAGTCATAAAATTAAATGTCTTATGAACACAAGACAAGAGCTGTACTCAGAGCCAAAGAACCCAAATCAAGTTAATCAAATCAAAGGATTACATGGCCAAATACACAGTTCAATTCAAGGAAGGAAAACTCAAGAGATTAGGTTTATGACAAGATTGGGGGATTAACAACAGGGCTGAGAAGTTAGTTCTCTGCAGCATTGTCAAATTGAATTGGAACTTCTTATATTTTATTGTGTGCTGCATACAATCCTGGTGAAAAATGTGATTTTGAAGAATAACATGCAGAAATCATCATCATTTATAAGTTCCACAATGGCAGCATAATTGAAGTGATCTATGAGTTTGTGGGAAGTCTCTCATTCTACAAAGTCATACTCAACATGTTAAGCCAGAAGCAAACCATAATACAAGTTTGTGTGCTATGTGAATTGGGCTAGTATAGTCAATGCTGAATGATTACATAAGAAAAACCTGCTGTCTCCCTAATAATATTTATATGGCTTTTGCTCTGAGGGTTGGAAATTTCAGGGATTATAGTATATATATATAGTGTATATATAACACATCTGTACAGTGGCAAGTAGAGGAAAGCTAAGAGGAGGCATATTTCTATGCTTTCTAAGCTTTCCTCTTAGACTAAATAATAATTGAATTTAATGAAGTAGAGCCAATCATTGAGAATGAGAAGACTGTATTAAGCTTTTTTGGATCTGAAATCTTAGAAAAGGTTTTTAGTAAATATGCTCCAGCCCTTATTATTATTATTTTTATATTATATTTTTTATTAATTTTTACACAAGCATAAGTCATTCAATAACTGGTAAACAATGTTATTATTTTTAAGCCTACATTGAAACTGGCACCTCAATCTACTTTTTTCTTTCTTGTATGAAGGTTGAACAACAATTAATGCATTTTATAAGTTGCCAACAGATGGCAATATTGATGCGCTAGAAGCTCTGATGTGTTCTTTAGCATCTCTTTTTTTTTTACTTCAGTTGGCAGGAAGTTGTTGGGAGAAAAGATCCTGTTGCTATTGTTAGCGAAATGGAAGCCTTCAGTGAATAATACATTTTAAGCAATGTGCCATGATTGAATTTTTGCTGGGATTGAAGTTTTGCTTCAGTTAAAGCTTCTCCAATTGAAATTCATTGATAAATGCAATTAGTTTATAACGGTAGCTAGGTGGATGTGAGACCTACATGTTGCAGGAGCAAAAAATATAACTAACTTGAAAAATCAAGAACAAAAGGGATGACAGGAACCAATGAGTTTCACATGAGAAAGGTTAACAAACTTATTAAGAACAATTGGCAAATTACTCCAAGAGAAACTGCTGTCAAGCTTAGCATTTCACAAAAATGTATGGATCATATTTGTTGATTTTTTTTCAATATCAGCACACCATCTTTGTGAAAGCTGGGTTCCTCTCATGTTAATAACAGCAATGAAAGCTTCAAGAATTAAAATTTGTCAGCAATTGTTGCGTGCTATGGGAATTAAGGGGAGGAATTTCTTCACAGCATTGTGACAGCTTACAAAATTCAGACTCATCCTTATGACCCAGAAACAAATAATTCATGGAATTTCAACAAAAACTTTATTTGTGGGGAAATAATTGAAACCTAAACTTATTCAGGAAACTCATAAGTACAGGTTTTGAGACACAGATGGTATTATTCACATGGATTTCCTTGAAAATAGGTGCTATTATCAACTCAGAGCATTACAGGCAACATCCAAAACTTAGAAAAAACAATTAAGAAACATTTGGAAACAGGAAAGAAATTTTGCTGTCACATGACAATGATAGATTTCATCTCAGCCCTCAAGAAATCACTGCAAAATTGGATCTTACAGTCTTAATTTCTCTGTCATTTAGTCCAGACTTTGAGCCAGGCAACTTCCACCTTATGCAGCTCTCATTATATACATCAAGGTCAGAGAACACCAAGGACTTTACAATTTAACCCTGAGCTACAGATATTCCCTTTTACTGGAACTCCCACCTTTTCCCTGATTGAAGCAATATCTCTGTGGGTATTTGCCTGAAGAGGTAGAAAGGATTGTCAGAACCTGGTTGAAGAGACAAAATAGGAATTTTTGTGATACCCTTTTCTTGTTTCATTATTAAAATATCCTTCTTATGACCAAAGTCATAGAGGTTGGAGAGACTGTTTTTATCCAACTCTTATATATCTGGATTGTTTGCACCCTGGATGCCTATTTGTATCCATCTTGCAAAGTTTGTAATGGGAAGAATATAGGAGTGGGAGTATTGGAATGTCAGCACAAAACCCAAGTCATTTGCAGCACTGAAATTGTCTTTATTTCTTCCTCTACAGGAGCAGAGTTTTTTGAAGCTTGACTTTGCAGCATCTCCTCCACAGACACATTTTTGCCTCATTCTTGTTCCATTCCTTTGCCAAGTCCTTGTGCTTTCAGTCTAAGTCTGAGCATCCTTCACATTCAGCCCATCTGTGGTGTGACTTGAGTATGCTAACATAAAGAGAAGAGAGCATTTCTTATGCCAAGCTAGTTCCACCTGCTGGCTCTTAAATGATTGAATCCTGCCATGAGCAAGATATTTCTAGCAGGACAGTCATTATTGCTCGCAGTATAGAAGAGTGCACACATAAATCCATTGCTTTATGTTCTAGCTATTACTTCATAATTTTTCTACCATAAGGGGAAGGGATAGAGCAGAATGACTATATTCAACCTATAGTATGATCTAAGATGCTGTACTACAAAGAAGAGTGTAACGTTCTGAATATTCCCATGCAATTCCATAGAAATTTAATATATGTCTGTTCTTATTCTGACCAAGGACAAACAGCAAACTCCTCTGTCCTTTGGGAAACAGGATAAATTTGTTTCCACAGTCTGAAGACCTAAAGTATTGCTCTTATTCTGCCTAATCCATGCAAACGAAAGAAAAAGAATTGATCTTCAAGTCCAAACAATAGAAATTCCATAGCTTTAGATATTGATGTGATATGAAAGGGCTAACAAAACCTCTGATATTGATATGTCAGCTATTCTGTGGGCAAGTTAGTTAGACTTTCTAAGAAATCTAACTAACTTTAGCCATATTCTATGAAGAGTCAAGGCCTTCAGAAATTGAAAGGACAGAAGTGGAGAAATAGAAAATGGGTGATTTATGTTACTACCATATCCTAAATAAAAATGTTAAACTTACTCAGCTATCACCATATTTCCAAGGCTGCTTAGGTCATCCTCAATTGTTGTATAATAAAAAGTGTTCTGTTAAATATCACAATTAAAATTGCTACCAATCTTACCTGAAAATTCCAAATTCTCTTGTTCTGTGATGGAATCTCCAGTTACAGTGGGAGAAGATGTGAAGCAACAGAGATCTTACCTCCCCCAGAATCTCTGAAACCATTATCTGGCCATTCCGAAGAAAATGCAGTCAATTTGTGTAGATTCTTGTAAATAGGCATGCAGCAATAAATATATAAGCTTGATCATCTCATGATGTCATTCTGGTTCCTTATGCCTGACATGTCTCCTCTCGTGTTTCCGGATAATCACCTCTTCAAACTCCCTCTGTTTCTTTCGGAGTATGGTCTACTTGGGGCCATTTAAAGATTTCCACATTTAAATACTAAAATGATATAGTGACCTTCAAAATCTACAATATCTTGTTCAACTATAAAATGTTGTCACTATAATTGCCATGGTTTTGATAGGTTTTGAATTTTCCCTTATGGAAATCTGTTCAATCCATTTCATGGCAAAACCCTTTTCTTATTTGGAAGAATTTGAAAAAAAATAACATTGTATTTCATTGACTTAAATTTGAATAGAATTTGCTTTCTCTCTCATAATAATCTTTCATACAAAACTGATTAGAATTTTAAAGAAATCTCAAATATGGTTTTATTGAAATAGCAATCATATTGCATCTCATGTCTAAATTACAAATATCCATAAAGTTCATGAACCTGGAGTTGTCTATAGCCTTTAAATAATAACCCAGTGGAAGAAAAATATTTAAAAGATAATATAGTTAAAATAACATTTTCAAAACTGTTGCAAAACTAAATATTGGCAACTCAAATATCAACAAAAATATGAAAAACTAATTAAAATGAAATTCAAGACAAAATAAAACAAACAACTGGATATTATCATAAGAATATTGATAGGGACAGGTTAATAACTGAGACAGTCACTTTCATTTTCTCTATTCCTGAAACTGCACATTTACCATGACCAGTGTGAATTAAATTCAATGTTGTTAATATCGCACAGGGTTAGTCAAATCCAAGTGGTTTTTTCAAGATGCAGAGAAAGCTTTGATATTGTGAGGGGCAATTTTCTATCAAGTGTTGTTTCCACATGTTGTGAGTGTTGAAATCACCTTTTCTATAAGGGACACTTGATGAAGTCTGCTGCCAAAATGAGAAGCGAAAATAACATCCTGCACAAATTGTGTGGCACTAGCTGAGGGTTTGGAGTGGACATTTGTGAGTGTCTGCAATTAACTTGGTTTACTCAGTAGCAGAGTATTGTGACCCCGAGTGGCTTAATAGTCTATACACAAGTAGGATTGATACACAATTGTATGAGTCAATGTGCATCATTAGTGGAATGATTCAATCTACTCCCACAAACTGGTTGCCTGTTTTGTATCATATACCACCTCTGGAAGTACAATGAAAAAAGACCCTTCTTCAAGAATATCTGATGATTATTGATAATTTCCCAGCTGCCAGGACTGAGCAACATAGCCTGCTTGGAGTGAAACAGGTTGAGAGCTAGACACCTAGGCATCTCTACTGCTAAAGCACTTGTAACAAAGATAGTATTAAGAAGAGATTCAGGGTGGCCCCTCCCTTACCACTGGACTGTAAGAGGAAGGAGGGGGGAAACACAATCGGGCTTGCAAGGTTTTGCTATTATAGCCTAATGAACAATAAAGTATAGTTCTAGTCTTCCCATGGAGTTGATTTCAGCTCTGATTTACCTCGTGTGGCTAACAGGCATTAATGAAAAGAAATTCTGTGCACTGGATAAACCTGTGAACCTCCAAATCTGTAGATCATTTCTGAGTGGATTGATGTGGAACATTCTACACTTGAAGAAGTGGCCGTCAATTGTTTAAAATAATTAATAGCTTTTTCAGGATCATTAAATTTCATCAAACTGGTTTCCAAGATAAGCCAAATATTGCTGGATAAAGAAAGTTTTTTTTTCTTGTTGCCTGGCTATAAGATGAACCTGGTGGAATGTTCTGTATTTCTGTGCAACTCTGAACGATAGAGCTGGAAACAACATTAGTTTCTTTCCTTTATATTTCAAATTTGTTGTCATTTTAGCTGCTTGAGATTTTGTCTCAATCAGCTCTCTGGAGAAATTCAATGACAACAGGATCAATAGATTGCAAGGAATCAGATCTAGATGGCATATAATAGACTGCCTCTATAGATTCAGCAAAATCTATCTGAAACAGGTCTAGGAGAGTTTTTTTAATGGTTTATTTTAAATATGCTTATGTTGTTGATCAGATAATTCAAGCAAACCTTATTCTTCTACTTTCTTGACCTTGGATATGTTCCAAGATTTTCTGGCAGGTCACCAGCATTTTACTAACTGTTAGGTCACAAGCTGTTAAAGCATCAGTAATTCTTTCGATCTTAGCTTGTTGTTCTTTTAGCTGCTTCTTGATCTCATCATCTCTATCTTTTTAATCTTATCTCCAAAATCTAAAAAAGTCTATTCAGTGAATTCAACAGAACAAGGAACTCAATATTGTTTATTTCATGAAGCAAGAATGGAAGCTTGGAATTTCTTGGTAAACCTAGTTTTCTCTGTAACTTCCACTTGATTTGGAGTCTCAGCCAATTCTCTACATATGCCAAGATGGAGAAGATAGCTTCTGACTTGAAGCTTCATTCCCTGTATTTGTTATAGCTTCTTCAGAAGCCAAGAATGGAAAAAGGCTGAATGTTAGGTATATTTAATTACCTTACCAGCTCTCTTCAGAGTCCACAGACTTTATTTCTGCAGAGATGGTGTGGGGAATAAATAGACCCTTTGCATGGCATTATTTTGATGAAAGTTCAGTTCATCATATCATCGAATAAAATATGATTGGACATCTGGAAATTTTACTGCTTTAAAAGAGAAGAACAGGAAACTTTTGGTCTTGTCACCTGATAATATACTGGTGTAAGAATATATTGTTTACAAAGCAGATGTTCCTGATTTTGAAAAATACCTTCTTTTATATTAATATGAATTCATATAGGAACCATCTTCAGGACCTTTGTGTTGGATACGATGTGTCTGTGTTTATGTGCACATGCTGCTTCACTACCCATCATTACCACAACAAGGATAATATAACTTTTTGAAATACTTTTATAGCTCTTCTCTTTTCATTCCTTTTCAATCCAGTTACCACTAACCACAAACCTCATATCTATCTAATTTGGTTTCCTCCTTTCTATTTTTAATACTGTGATTATTTCTTTTTACCTGATTTTCCCTTTAAAATATTTTTATCAAAAGTTTTAGACAAAAAGATAAAAGCTAACACAAACTAATAAAAAGTAAAGAAGAAAAAAGAATGAGATAAAACAAAAGGTTCAAGAAAAGAAAAAGTGAAGAAAAACAGAAAAGAAAGAAAAAAGTTATAAAGTAGTTTCAACCCTGACTGCTCTTTAGAAGGCCAGATCCTGAAGTTGAAACTCAGGTACTTTGGCCACCTAATGAGAAGGAAGGACTCACTGGAGTACAGTATAATGCTGGGAAAGATTGAGGGCAATAGAAGAAGGGGACGACAGAGAATGAGGTGGCTGGATGGAGTCACTGAAGCAGTAGGCATGAGCTTAAATGGAATCCAGAAGATGGTAGAGGACAGGAAGACCTGGAGGAATGTTATCCATGAGGTCGCGATAGGTCAGACACGACTTCGCAACTAACAAAAAAAAACATATTTTAACCTCTGTCTCAAAAAAGTAACAAGAAAAGAAAAATTGATGAAAAATTGAAATAAAGGAAAGAGATGCAAAGAAGTTGCTTCCACCATTCTTCACAGCAATTATAAGTACTATTATATTTTTATTTCTGTAAAGTGACATCATATTACTCTTCTTTCTACAATTTATCCTGTCTAACCACCAAAACATAAATCACAAGTTCATTTTTTTCATATTTTATGCAAAAAGATGCATAAGATGCTTCCAACCACCACTAAATGTGGAAAAGGTCTTTTCTTTAATTAAAGAAGTCAATTCTCTTATTTCAGTAAAATTTGTCAGCTTTATTAACCATTCCTCCATAATAGGTAATGTTGAATTTTTCCATCTCTATGCACATAATAATCTACCATAGGAGATATCATATATTGAAAAAAATCTCCATGGCTTTTTTTCCTGTTCATCCATTAATCCGAAAAAAAAAGCTTTGGCTTCAATTGATTATTAATTTTTAATTTTTCTGTATCAATTTGAATTCAATATTTTTTTTGCTTTTTACATATCCACTGACATGATAAAATGTCCCTTCATGTTGTTCACATTTCCAGCATAGATTTGAAGTTCCTTTATACCTTTTAGATAATTTATCTCGTGTCATGTACCAATGCTATATCATTTTATAAAAATTCTCTTTCAGATCATAACACAATATAAATTTCAACCCTTTTAACCACATATTTTCCTGTTGATCCATTTATATATTATAAACAAAATTCTTAGCTCACTCTTACCTCAATTTCCTTGATGTTTTTCTTTTCTTTTTTTCCCTGTTGCTGTTTCTCTGGAAGAAGTAAGGAAAAATTGTGTACACATTGTCACATTTATGAGTTAAGGCAGTTTTTGAGAGAACATGGACAGGGGGTAGCTTAATTTACAGGCATTTCATTTTCAATACTTATATGCATTTTTCTTCTCAGTTCATTTTTGATGTGTGATTTCTGACAGTATATATATATAACATATTTGCATATGCGTATGCTGGTATTTCCCATGAATACAATGACTTGAGGAAATGTTGGTTTCATCTGGAATTGGTAATCATAACTTAACAAGATGGAGATATTAGGTATGTCTGTCTTCATCTGCAGGTCTTCCTTTTGTGTGAGATTGACTTTAAATTAAGCACATCTGAATTTAAATTCAAGGCTAAATTCAGCAAGTGTATTAGAAGTATAGAAAAACTAGATACATCTTATGCGCTTGCTAAATATGGAATAGGTACAGAGTCTTACTAGTGTTATTATTCATCAAGCTTCATTGTTCCATATCACTTCTATTAAAAACATGAATTAGAGATTTACCTAACTTTCTGATTCGGATTTTATCAGCTATTCTTTTATATGTGATGGGGCTCATAATTTCAATTTCAGTAACAAATTGTCATCAAGCCTAACAGAAAACTGAGCCCATAAAGAATATGGCACAGTTAGTTACTACCATCTCTTTGTCTTGAGTTGTAAATGTATTTCAGTAATCAACACACAGAATAATAGATAAATTGTTTCAGCAACAAGGAAATTCCTTGTCTGAAAAGGATATGTGGTTTAGATGCTAAGATACTTTCTGGTAGAGTGTTTTGTGAGACTTGGATGGCTGAATATAATATTTTATGGCTGTTATGCTTAGCTATTAAACTCAATATTTAAACAATCTCAGTTTCTATCCTTGCCACCCAATGAAATCTCTTAGTCACACTTCTACAAGATTACATTATTTTAAATATTTAAATAGAAATGTAGTCTTTTGCAAAATAAAGTGCCAGTTCCTAATGTTTTTATATATCTAAACCTACATCTGTATGCTGCAGGAATGCCTTAGTACAGAGCAAGCTGGGAGTTAAATTTATTTTCTGGAAAATAGTTATCTTTTGAATGACCACATGTACCATGTGTGGGTATACTCACTGTATGTTCCCAAATTTTAAATCAAAGTTTTTAAAAATAAAAAAATTAAACTCAAGTTAACTTTTGCTGTTCAAAACTATTGGTTGTAGTGATATGAGTAAAATTGAGTGCAGTATTTTTTTGGTGATGTGGTCCTTGCTGCTCGTTCTATAATATTGGGATTATCATGCCACTACAGCAAGTTGACCTTCATGTTTATCTGTGTGTATGTCTGTATTTCCTATTTTCTAGGAATTCAAGGTGACAAATATTATATACACCCTCCAGAGTCACTATGTGAGATGGGTGTATAAACAAATTATATTCTGACCCTCAATTTTCTGTCTATGTAATAGCTTTGTCTGCGAGATACGGAGTAGCTAAAAGTCACTCAGGGAACTTTCATGGGGAAGACTAGATTTAAATATGCATTTAGTGTGATTCTAGTCCAATACTTTCACTATTCATGACAGATTCCATGCAATAGTCAAACCCACATTTTTCTAATTTATAGAGAGACATATTATTCATTGTGTCACTAGTACAGATTGGGCGAGACCTGGCTTAAAAACAGTAACTGTGAGAGGGACCTTGGAGTCCTAGTGGATGATCACTTGACTATGAGCCAGCAGTGTGCAGCAGCAGCCAAAAGAGCTAATAAAATCCTGGGTTGTATAAACAGAGGCATAGAATCAAGATCATGTGAAGTATTAGTACCATTTTATAAAACTGTAGTAAGACCACACTTAAATACTGCAGCAAATTTTGGTCACCATATCACAAAAAAGATGTTGAGAGTTTGGAAAAAATTCAGAGAAGAGCAACTAAGATGATTAAAGGCCTGGAGACTAAAACATATGAAGAACAGCCACAGGACTTGGATTTAGCTAGTCTAAAGTAAAGAATAAATAGGGGAGCAGTATTCCAGCATTTGAGGGGCTGCCACCAAGAAGAGGGGGGTCACGTTATTTACCAAGGCTCCAGAGGGCAGGACAAGAAACAATGGTTGGAAACTGATCAAAGAGAGAAGCAACCTGGAATTAAGGAGAAACTTCCTGACAGTGAGGACAATTAACCAGTGGAACAGCTTGTCTTCAGAAATCGTGGGCGCTCCATCACTGGAGATTTTTTAAGAGGCTAGACAGTCGCTTATCTGAGATGGTATAGGTTCTCCTGCTTGAGCGAGGGGCTGGACTAGAAGACCTCCAAGGTCCCTTCCAGATTCTAATCTACTCTGTTCTGTTCTGCTCTGTTCTATTCTTCTATCAGAAGCGAAAATCTGCTTTAGTGAGGCAACCAATGGGGAAAAAAATCATGGTCATGATGAAATATAGAGAGGTAAACAGGGGCAGAGTATCTGATTTGCCTTTCTTGCAGTATTGGTTACAATCTAAATCAAAAGCAGAAAGGCAATGCAAAATAAACTTTTGACTACTAAGCATAAATACCATACCCGTCCATTACTATTTTAATAGTTACCATAATACTATAAGGAAACCAAATTTGCAATATATCAACAAATGCAGAGGAATTAATTATTAGAGGAAATGAGAAGGGAATTACAAGTAGTTTCACTTGGCTAATGAATAACACAAGACACAATAATAATACCGTAGTAAAAACTGTAGGTGTGAATTAAATAACCTGGACATGTTAGTTATGAGATACTTCAGTTTTCCAGAATGACAAAATAGTTTCTGGGTTTCTGTTGATAAGAACAAGATGCCTTCCTCCCAATCCTTAGAATATATTTTGACTATGCTGATACTAGCAATAGTAATAGCAATAGCACTTAGACTTATATACCACTTCATAATCCTTTACAGCACTCTCTAAGTGGTTTACAGAATTAGCATAGGGCCCCCAACTATCTCAGAAGAATGGAAGTCTAAGTGGCAGAAGCACTGGCAAGAATATCAGATATATATAATATTGATTGGTGGAGGAGTTTGATTCTGGGCAATAGGAAACAAGAGTTTATATTTTATATTTGTTTTATTGTTGGAAGATGTCTTGATGACATCTTTGCTTCTACATTTGCACATTACTTCATTTTTTCCTTTACACTTGCCAGCCCTCTTTTTAAGTCTCATTCACTTTCATTAACAATTTGGTAATAATAAATAAAACTAAAACTAATCTTTTACTGTGCTATACATTTCCTGTCTAAACAGCCTTTTTATAAAGGAATGTAATTGTCATTTCTTCAGTTTTTCATGGTTGTTTGTAAAAATGTTCAAATGTTTAAATTCTCTTCTTACTAGGAAGAAAAGGCTGGTTTAGGAAATGGAAAATTGTGGCTGATGTTTAAATCATCTCTGTGCATATTTCAACTCAGAGGGACATAAAAACCTGTTCTGGTTAACAAAGCTTGTATTCTATATTCTATTCTGTATTCTGAGGAGCTTACATACAAAATAGGCTAACAAGCAGTGAAGAACAGTTTTATGGGAAGGAAAAGGAACTGAAAAATCTGGGTGACCATCAGATGGTAGTTAGGAACTATAGGTTTCTATACCTCTTTGTTGTCATCTAGTTAATCTAATTCTTCACCTACAAATGTGGTTATAACTGATTAAAGGACAGACACATCAATAATTATCGCTGAGTCATTTCTCTGACTCAAGAGACATTCCAAAACGAAAATCCTTACTTATATTTGTAACCAATGAAAGAAGATCAAAGAAGATTTATGGACATTTTGTAATATATGCATTTATATTTGGATATATGGATTGAATATAGATAGGAGTTGTAGGCTGAATACACCAATGGAACTTTATCTACTGCTCCCACATCATACCTTCAAAAGACAATAGTAAGATTATTAATCTCTCCTCCTTTCCCTACATATAACAGCTTCTCCTCATGAACAGATACTGAGAACATTTCACTCCTAGCTTGGGTATAAATGAGGAGAGAAGATAGTAAAACTAGTGTCTTCCATAAATTTAGGACTACAAATCCTATACTCGTTATTTATTTATTTATTGTTTTAAAAGAATGACAAAAAGAGGAAAACCCCCCCCCCAAGATATTTATGATAAAAGATATACACATTGTGAAACTTGAATTGTAATTCTATTTTTATTGTTTTTCAAAATATTTATCTTTTATGGTTTTATTGCTTTAATGTTGTAAGCCCCCAAGAGTCACTTTAAAGTGAGATGGGCAGCAAACAAATTTAATAAATAATAATAAAGGAAAAAAACAATTAAAAGTGCTTTTTTTTAAAAAAAGTAAAATATATAACAAGTAAAAAAGAATACAGTATATAATTTCAGCAGTAAATATTGCAATTCTATAAATAGGTCTCTAATGAAATTATTATTCAGTTATGTATATATTTCTAGTACATTTATATAACTATTGTTTTTTTAATTGGCTGTATTTTGTAGTCCCATATTTCATTTTATTTGTCTATACCAATGGTTCTCAACCTGTGGGTCAGAACCCCATTTGGGGTCGAACGACCATTTCATGGGGGTCGCCAAACAACGCAGTCTGCCATTTTCCCCCCCTTTTCCTTAGCTGTGCTACTCCCTTTTATTCTATTGGCTTTTGAAAGCCAATAGAATAGACTCTCTTGAATAGAGTCTAATTCTATTGGCTTTCAAAAGCCAATAGGAATTGTTCAGGCTGTCTCTGCCCTGCTGAGCCCGCCAAAAGTCCCATTCTGCAAACGGTGCTGCACCAGTTGAGTAGTCCTCGACTTACGACCGGTTGAGTAGTCCTCAACTTACGACCGGTTGGGGGTCGCGGCATTAAAAAGGTTGAGAACCACTGGTCTATACAAAGTCTACATCTTTAGGCAACCAGTTGGCAAGATAGTGGCAAGTGCAATCAGGTCTTCAATCCATTCAGTGAAAGGGACCATATATTTAGCTTTCCAGTGCCGCAAGATCAGTCTTTTATCTGTAGTAAGGGAACATAGAATCTATTTATGTTATCCGGTTGCTCAAATTCCATGTACTAAGTATGTAATTCAACAGAATACAGGCAGTCCTTGATTTACAACAGTTCTTTTAGTGACCGTTTTGAAGTTACAACGGCACTGAAAAAAGTGACTTATGACCATTTTTCACTTATAACTGTTGCAGCATCCCCATGGCCACGTGATTTACATTCAGATACTTGACCCACTGAATCCCATTTATGACAGCTGCAATGTCCCAGAGTCATGTGATCCCACTGACAAGCAAAGTCAATGGGAAAGCCAGATTCACTTAACCGTGTTACTAATTTAAGAACTGCAGTGATTCACTTAATAAATGTGGCAAGAAGAGTCCTAAAATGGGGCAAAACTCACTTAACAAATTTCTCACTTTTGTGGTCAATTGTAGTTGTAAGTTGAGGACTACCTGTATTATCCTCTGAAAATTTTAGCTTTTGTTGTACCATCATATTTCTTTCTCTCCAAACTTAGTAAATATAAGACATTGTAAAAGCATGTGTTTTAAATAAGCATTGTCTTTATAAAATGCAATTTCCTTTTCTATGCAGTCCCTTTCCTTTATCATTGTCCATCATTGGGATAGATGGGAAATTTCTGCTGCTTTTATATGTTTCCCAACCATTAAAAGATGACCTATAGAAGGCAAATTAGCAAACTCTCAATAAAAGAAAAATATCTCACAGTTTTACTAGGATCGTCAAGACTAGGCTTTTCAAATCTGCTTGCCTCTAGATTGGTTGGGACTACAGCTCCCAGAATGCCAGCAAAGATGAATTGGGAAAGATGATAAATATGTATATTACATATACATGTTGACTTTATGTACTAAAATGGGAATGGTAGGCATGCCACCTTGAACATTTGAATGGAGGTGGAACAGGAATCTGATATGTGTAAGCAGTTTATGTTATTTGTTGTACATTGCCTGGATACTTTATGTTGCAGCTTCTGTAATGGAACATATAATGTATTTTTGGTAGCTATAACAACTGACTTGCAGATACAGGTGGGAATAGGTTAAGCAAGGATGTCCCAAAATGTTGCCTACTTCTGTTGGGAGGCAATCCTTCAATAATTCTTATCCAAAGCCATTTCAGATATATTGGTACCAATCAGCAAAATTGAGTCTGAGAAAGAGGAAGCTTAGCCAGATAAAATAGGATCCAAATATTTGAAGATTCGAATTCTTTTCAATAGCAGCCCCATACAGATCCCTTTAGAATAACCTAATCTGGATATTATTAGATTATGCAACATTTTTATTTAATCTAATAAAAGATTTTAGAGCAGAGGTCCTCAACCTTTTGGGCACCAGGGACCGGTTCCGTGGAGAAAGGTTTTTCTGCGGACCAGAGAGTGCGTAGTTTTGTGTGCTGCCTGCATCCCACAGATGGGGCTTTGGTTGTTTGTGCAGCCCGGTTGCTGGCATGCTGTGGCCCGGTACTGGTCCAAGGCTTGGGGGTTGGGGACCCTTGTTTTAGAGCTTTCAAGTACACAAACATAGCACTTGTTTCAACTCCTTAAAGCAGATGTATCTTTTCCCTTCCTTTCCCTGTGGAGAGAAACTGAAATCCTGTGAAAAGATGCAGCTGCTATGAGGTGATGAGATATAAGTTATATTTCACTCAGGCTGGATTCCAAAGTGCTGCAGAATTTTATCTACTACGTCATATACATTTTTGGCAGGCTTTCTTCTCAAGGAACGGGATGCCACTAAAATATCTATAGAACAGGGGTGTCAAACTGCCGGCCCGCGGGCCAGACGCGTCATCCCAAAACCGCGCCCACCCCATTGCCAGCAATGGAGAAAAAGCTCCGATACGTCACATGACATCACGAGTTTGACATGCCTGCTATAGAATCATTGCAGCAGTGGCCATGTCAAGTGACAAATCACCTGAAGACATTTTGATTAGTAAGATCCTTAAGTATGGGTTGGGAGAGGGCATTAAGTAAATCTATATAGTAATTTACTTGAAAACTGAAGTCAAAGGGAACTCATCAACAGTTCCTCCTCAGATTAGAATAGCATGCTAGATGGGGTTCCATGCGGCCTGGAAATCTTCAGCTTTTCCACTCATGATTTAGATGAGAAGGAGAGATGCATATCATATTTGCAGATGACACAAAGCTGCAATAGTTTTGAAGACAAAATGAATTTCTAAATTTTCTTGGTAGCTTCAATCAATCAATTTAATTTATTGTGGTTATAAATCAGTATGGATGAGTGATAGGTTAGAGAGAATAGGCTGAAAATAACAGAATGGGATTTAATCAGAAAAAAAACTTCAGATGCAGTTTAATTTAAAATGGTTTGATAGCTGCTAAAAAGGCAATGGCATTTTGCGCTGCATTAATATTTCTAAATCACAAGTAGTAATACTTTACTGTATTCTGTACTAGCCATACTACACTTTGATCAGTGTCCCGTTCTAGACATCAGACTTTAAGAAAATTTCAGAAATTGTGTGACAAACACAAGATAGATTAATAAGGATGATCAGGGGACTAGATGCAACTTCCCATGAATTAAGAAAACACAGTTGTGACAGCAGATAATAGTACTTTTCAAACATCTGAAGGGGTGTAGTATAGAAGAAGCTGAGATATGTTCTCTACAACAGAATAATCTTGTTATAAAAGGCAGATATAGATAGACTGTTAGGAACAATTTTCTAGCAATTTGATAGTGGAACCAATTACTGAGAGATGGGATGAACTCCCTTAATGGTAGAACAGATTTCTCCAGCACTGCATGCCAGGAGACATATGCGTCTGTTGTTTGGGGACGGTTGCATAGGTGTTCCATTTATGTTTCTACAAATGTAACCCTCTGGCTAGGGAGCATTCAACAGCAAAAGAATAAGAAGTTGGATCAAACAATCAGCATGCAGGATGTGCACCTCCACACATTGCACAGCTCGGATTTGGGAGATGTGTGTGTCAGTCAGTCTGTAGCCATTTGCAACCTACACTTAACCATCAATCCCTTGGCACTGTAGGCATGAGGCACAACTACAGGCGGTTGGGAGCAACTCTAAATCAGCCTTAAGATGTGTTCAAGTGAAGGCCTGACAAACATCTGTAGTTAAACCATATTCAAATAAGCTACAATTTACTGGATTGATATATTATTCTAAAAAAAGAACAAATAAACAATGCTTCACCTTCCCCTATGAGATTATACAGCCTTGAAATTTGGCTCTCACATATTGTTATCACAATGAAGAGTGTCAAATGTCTGTGAGGAATTCTGGTTGATGATCCATATCATACAGAGCACCTTCACAGGAAGAAAATATCTGATGTCAAAATTTATTCTCAACACATCTGATAGAACTTACATGACAAAAAGTGAAGAGATAAAGCCCTGTAACCATGTTGACTTTAAAACTTTGTTTCCATACCCTAAGCCATGATGTGTGTTTCTTTAGTATGTTGGTTAACATGTGAACCCATCTAGTAGCTTTGCTCACACTTGGTTCATGTGTAACTGAAGCCAGAATTATGGTCTATAAGTAAAAAAAAATAAGAGCCAGTTTGGTATAATGGCTAAGGTGCTGACCTAGAAAACAGGAGAAACTGAGTTTGGGCCAGTCACTCTCTCACAACCTAATCCACCTCACAGGTTGTTGTGGGGGGAAAAAGAAGTAACAACATTATTTATTTATTTATTTAGATTCAAAGGCAAATGTTTAGCATGTGTATGGACATGCACACAGCCCTGGCTGGCAATTCCATAAATGAAATATATTTTTTGCTGGGATTTTCTTGCAGCTCTGAAGAATATGCTGAGAAAAGATGCAGCTATTTAAGGAACTGCAGAGAAATTGTAGGTGAGCCTCTTGGCATATTCCCCCCCCCCATTATGTCTTGCCTAGTTTTAGTTTCAGGTTGCATGGCTACAGTAGACACCCTATTCAATCACAAGACTTTAAATAGTATCTGTAAGCAAGTAGAATGCAACTATGCATGACTTGCACTTCCTTTTCTCTTTTGCATTTCTGACCACACCTGGAACAAGGATTTATGGATTTCTTTTCACTGTATTAACTCCGCAAGAAGGTACCCCTCCATGAATCCCTCTGAAAGGGAAATGTGTGTTAAGAGTGATGGCCCCCAACGTTATATAAAGAAGAAACCTGGCATCATAATCTGAGATCTTTTAATCTCCCACCTTTTCTTCATTAACATCCAAAGTAATCTTCAGAGATTCTGCCAAGACTTTGCCACCACTTGGAACCCGCGGCACGCCCCTAGCGGACTGGTGAGCGATGTCACAAAGGAGAATGCGGGTCCACCTTTCAAGCCTGCGCGTGATGTCAGAAGTTCATCATTGCCAAGGATCCTGGCTTGCAATCCGGGGTCACTCTTCTAGGAGGGCTTTATACAAATCAAGGAGAATTGTTTCAACTTCATCAGGTTTTTTTTTTGCTTGCGGGCTCAGATAACCTGAGGAGAACAGCCCTACCCTCCCTTATTTTCGCACATAGTTGACCGGGCCGCCAGAGAGCCACCTCGGCAGCATTGGGGCAGCAGCAGCAGCAACAGCAGAAGCGGGAAGAGGTGCCGGTTTGGGCAGGGAAGACGCTTGAACTTTGAAGCCAAAAGGTGCAGAGAATTAGCGGCCCACCGGCCCCGGAGGCGCGCGGGAAAAGCCCGTGTCTCCCGCTGCGACAAGAGGGCAAGCAGCCCAGCCCCCCCCCCGTACTGAACCCCACCCCGGGGTGGCCGAGCCAGACTGGCGGGGACGGCGGCGAGCGCGCGTGCTGTGGCCAAAGGAAGGCGGCGGCTGCTCTTCCTCACCGATTGCAGTAGCAGTTCGGGGAGCCGCCAGGCTGCGCTCTCGAGCCGGCTCGCAGTCTGGCTGCGGCCCCGGGCTGCCGGGCTCCGGAGCGCCAGAGGCTCCCGGGGAGCAGGCAGTGCGAACGGTTGGTCCCGGGACAGCAGCAGCTGCTGCAGCAGGAGGAGCCGGAGCGGCTCGCTGCTGCAGCGGGAGCCGCCCCGGCTCGGAGCTCTGCCTGTCCGGGTTGCGGAGATAACACCTGGCGCCCCTCAAGTACGGGTGGCTTCGGTAGGATTTCGGCGGCCAGAAGGACGCGTCGCCGCGGCTGCCCACACAGCTCCTCTCCGCGCCCGGCATGACTTGCAAGGGTTCATCGAGCTGGGCACTGTGGGTGGCCCCGTTTGTTACGCTGCTGTCTCTGCGAGGTAAGGGAAACCTGAGGGGGGAGGCCAGAGGGTGCTGGGCGGGCGCCGGAGTAGTGGCAGAAACCTGGGAGACACAAGACGCCTATCTTTGTCATCGGCAGTTTTGTCCCCTGCTCTGGATTCGAACTCTCAACTTTAGCGCCAAGAAACGCGCTAGGCTGGAGCTCTGGGTCGGCTGAACAGCAGCTAATCGCAGAATAGAAGATGACACTTCTCCGAATACTTTAATCCCTTTGCTGACGAGGAAGTTGTTGTAAAGTTAAAGAAAGGGGATCTGTGTGGGTTGTTTCGTCTTATCCAAATATTACTAGACTCTGTCCGCCTTGATCATTCCATAAAGTAACCAAATTTTGTATTTAAACACTATTCTGCCCAAGAAAAAAAGAGCAATGTGCACCAGAGAGTTATGGTACAAATAGTTTCTGTCTGGGCAGGAGGGAGAAAAAATAAGTCCAGTCTGATTATGTGACCTTTTAAGGAACAATCTCTCCAAAAGTGATGTTAGAGAACTAGAAATGCTTTACTGTATATGTTGGTGTATTTTTTTTCCTAAATAATGGGGTATAAAAGTTTCTAGCAGGTGTGGAGAACATTTATTGTTTTCCATTTTTAGAACAGATAGAATTTTTTTAAAACAAACATTTATATTTAACTTTATAAAACAGTCATTTTAATGTCCTGAGATTTTTTTCTCAGTTAAATGGCATATATTCTTAAACATGCCATTATTATGTTTGTTAAGTATTTTGTTCACATTATTTTCTTATTCCCAAGTTTCATTTCCATTGGACTAACTTAAAGTAAAACTTAATAAAACTTTCCATTCTGGCCTTGTAGAGTTTCTCTTGAAAGCATACAAGATGTATGATGCTGGAAAACTTTTATCAGAAAAACAAGTGCTAATAACTATTTAGCAAAACTCTAGCAGTTAAATCTTTTCTGTGCTACAGAAGTAAGTCTGGTGAGGACCACAAAGAATTACAATATTCCCACATTCCTAAAGTTAAAGCCAGATTTTATCTGACAGCTTTATCTTTGTGTACGGCTTTTGGGCTCATTGTTTCCATTTTGCTATGACTATCTTGTGGACACATTTAAAAAATATATTTAGTGGAATAAATTATTCCTGCATAGTCCCTGATCATTTTTTTAAAAAATCACAGATTTTAGTACGGGCATCTAGTGGCCCAGATGCATCCTGGAAGTTTTGTTTTTCTGTTGTGTCCTTATGGTATTTTCATCTCAGCTTTCCTGCATAAATGAGACCGTTTTATATAGTAGTATCTTTCCTCTCGTTTTTGACACTGTTCAAGGGCATCTTCAATGTGTATAAAATATATTAAGCTTTGTTTCTTTTAACCTTGGAGGGAAGTCACATGACTGGTGGTGACTGGGAACAGAAGCAGTAGAATTGGGATAGGAATCAGCAGCTCAAGAATGGGTGGTCAGCTGAGGGAAAGCTTATAATCAGTTAATTCAGTATTGACTGTTCTATTATTATTTAAAGACAATGGACTTGAAGTCACTGAGATAAAAAATGTATTGCTTTATTTTAGTATTCTCATATGTCCATAGGACATGCAATACAGTTTCAGTTTGGATAAGCAATACGATTTAGATACATGGAATGCCTTTGTAGAAGAATAAAAAACTGAACTCCAAGGACTTTTGCAACCCATTAATTTAAATCAATGGGATTTGAGTGTTTAGGATCAAAGCTCAGTTTACAAAAACTTGGAAGTGCCTGGAAACCACATCAAATGTCTAAATGAAGATAATTATGTACATTAATTGCTTATAGTTCATCTTGATAATTCTTAAAGGTTTCTGAGGGTGTTTAGAGAAAATATATCTTTTATTCTGATTTTCCTATTTTTGATAGTGTGATTTAGTTATCCTAGCATGTGGTGTATTCATTCGGGTTGTTGACATTAGTGAAGCTTGAGGCTTGAACGAATGAGGGCCCTGAAGTTAGGATCCAGATGCAGGACTCTACCAGCTGCGAGGCAATTTGTTTTGTACATTTGCCAGTGCACCTTATTTTGTGTGCCTATAACATTCTCTGTATTTCTGCTAGGATTTTCTTAACTAATTTGCAAAATTAAGAGATCAATTTTGTAGCCAGTATTCTTAGCCTGTAAATGAAGCATGTCCTCCCCCCCTTTTTTTTTTGCTTCTCAATTAGGAAGCCACTGCTTCTTGAAGCATCATTTGCTCCTTCAAAATCAAGCAGGTATCATTTAGTTCAAGATTTGTTTTCAGTTAGAGTATAGCTTAAGGGAGTTGATGTAGCACATCTAGATCAGTTCTATAGGCCATAAAAATCTTTAGATAACCAGTCCAAAATATGTAAAGTATGCTTTTTGAAACTGAGATTTACCTTTGGAGCAGGAGACTTGTCCCACAGCAATGTTGACTTGAATGCAGAGTTTAGTTTGCTTGCATTAAACCAGAGCATCCAATTCTCTGACCATTAACATGAAAGTAAGCCAGGTTAGAATTAGTTGTACAGGTAGTCCTCGTCTTACGACCACAACTGAGCCCAAAATTTATGTTTCTAAGTGAGACAGTTAAGTGAATTTTGCCCCATTTTACGACCTTTCTTGCCACAGTTAAGTGAATCACTGCAGTTAAGTTAGTAACACGGTTGTTAAGTGACTCTGCTTCCCCATTGACTTTACTTAACAGAAGGTCACAAAAGGTGATCACATGACCCCGGGACACTGCAACCATCATAAATATGAGTCAGTTGCCAAGCATCTGAATTTTGATCATGACCGGGGGATACTGCAGTGGTCATGTGTGAAAACAGTCAAGGTCCATTTTTTTTAGTTCCTTTGTAACTTTGAACAGTACTGAGGAATTCTGTCTTAATGCAAACCAAGAATATTGTGCCAGAATTTTTGTGTGATAGAAGGAATACTTAAGCCATATCACTCCATAAAACATATCACAGCATTAACCATTTCAGCCAGGGAATGATTATTTGTGTTACACTGTTGTAGGGCTAGGCTTGTTTTATAACAGTTAGGAATATTATGTAAATATTAGTTAGAAATATGTGAACACTGATCCTCCCTTCCAACAGAAACATTTTTCTTCAGGTTTTCTTACAGCTGTGTTGAGCTTTCTGGTGGAAATAGAAGAAGTGTGCTTTGACTACTTTAGTATTAGCGTGTATTTTTCAAAAAAGGAGATTGGTAATGATACTCACAAACCTAATGCAACATAAACATTTGTTAATATTGCACTGTAAAGGGATACGTAATTCAAATGGCAAACAATTGTATGCAAGACATTGAAATGGTGGAATAGCAAGAACAATAATTGTTCAATGAAGCAAATGTGGTCTTATTGGATTTTGGATTTTAACACTGAGATTACAGAAAATGGTAAATGCTCAATTTACCCTAGCTCAAAAACCCATACTTAAAGTGAAAAGAAAAGATGACGTGGTTGATTAGACTGAAATAAAGTTGTATTATTCATCAAAGATAACTGCTGTCCAGGAACTTGACACATGACAGTCATGGAAAAAAGATTACCTCAAATAGTTATATTTGTTACTCAGTTTGTCAAAATGACAAGATAATTAGGACATTGTGAGATAGATGCACTGTGGAAGGAATTTTAGGCTGTATTCATGTAAGTGTAAGCAACTCCTTCACTTTATTCTGCTTTGGTCATACCATTCCTCAAGTAATATGTTTTGGGCATCATATTGGATCAGGTTCTGAGAAGGAAATTAGAATTACTAGGGGTCTAGAAGAAAGATTGAAAGAGTAGAGTATCTTTAGTTTTGAAAATATTGAAGAGGGATATGTCATTCTTTAAATGTCTGAAAATGTGTCCCATAAAAGAAAATTAAGACCCATTCTTTCTCATTCCAAAGTAGGGCATTGGATAATGGTGTGAATTGCAGGAAGACAGATTCAATAATATTGGAAAAAAAACCCTTCCTCACAGAGAAATTCAACAGTAGAACTAATGAAGTGATTGTCCCTCTGTATTTGATTTGTTCAAGTGAAGGCTTTAGAGCTTTTTATGTTTCAGTTTGGGTTCCGCAATGAGCAGAGGTTTGAACTCAGTGGCCTAAACTGTTCCCTCTGTGAGTGTGATATGCTGCCTATTTGTTCTATGAAAATGAGGAATGGATCAGGCTAAGAGCCTTGAGCAGTGTGGGACATAATTTTTTTCTTTCTTGTAGAATGAAAAGTACAGCAAGCTGCTTCTTCCCCAATGTTTCAATATATACAAACTGCTACTATGGCTTAGAGCTCGTTTGCTGTAGAATAGGAACTGAATGACAAAAGAGAAGCATTAGTAAAAGCAGGTATCCACATATGGAATAAAGTGAGGGGAAGACACTTTGCATTATGACACATTATCTGTTTATTTCATTTTGTATCTTTGACACAAATATATAATCTGCAGTTTTTACATCATGATCTCACGATGTGCATAGTGTCATGTTGCTATCATTGTGGCTTTTAATACATGTTTATGTTTGTAAGTATATTAGGCCACATAAAATGCTAGAATTTAGAAAGTGGATTAGTTTCTACTTGGACAGTTGAGATTTGCCATTGCTTTAAGAAATATATTCACTTAGTTCAGATGGCAATTCATTCATAAGCAAGTCTGAATGGCTAAAACTTTAAAAATGTCAATGCAATACAAATAATTATTCCAGAGGCGGGAACAAAAATAAACCACATATACATGTACCTATGGTAGAAAGGTAAAAATTAGTTTAACACAAATGTTAATATTTATGTTAAACATATTAATATTAATAAAATATTAATAGTTCACACATCATCTTGGTCCAGTGCCAAAGGGAAGAACTGGATCTTCAAGATAATTCTAAAAGCCAGTATTTCCAAAATCCAGCCATCTGGATTTTGGAAAGAGCTACTGCCATGGGACAGACACTGAAATAGAGAAGGCACACTTTCTAGGTCCCACTAAATGGCATTATTTAACATGTGGGATCTGGG